ATTGGATATAAATATGAAAAAAATCAATCCCCTCTTACATCATACACATAAAACTATTTCATGGAATTATATACCAGAGTGTTGAAAATCAAACAATAAAGATTCCAAAGACAACTTAAATGTCTATCTTCATGACTGTTGTGTGGGCAAAGATTTCCTAAACAGGACACAAAATGCACTAATCATAAAGAATAGCTCTTCATCAAGATACCACACAAGAAAGAAAAGGGAAGGCACCGATCAGAATAAAATATTTCCAATGCATACATCCAACAAAGAACATGTATGTATGTATCCTCCAAAAAATATGTAAAAGAAAAAGCCAGACAACCAATGTTAAAAATGACCAAAAGGCTCACATCCTTCACAAAGATGATATCCAAAACAGCTAACAACATGTGATAGCAGTCTCCAACCACAGAATGAAAAGAGGAACTGAAAAAGAAATTGACTATGCCAAGCGTTGGCAAGGATTGTGGAGCAACTAGATTTTCATGCAGTACCTGTATCTGGCCCATGGCTCTTCAGGTCTCACTACTTCAGTGCATTCCAGCAGGTGGCCGATGTATGTGTCTTCCTAAGGGCTTTCTCTGGGTTTAAGAATAGTTCTGGCTATAACAGCAGTAGCCCAGAGGTAGCAGAGAATAAACCATCCCTACCCAGGGGTAATCCTAACCAAAGACCAAGTGGAGTAGTGTATAAATACCCCAACTCCCTTGCTCTCTGATGTGTATTTCATATCATTTCCAGAGATCATCAGTAGGCTGAGCTCTAGTACTCACAGTGGTAAGTTCCTTAATAATGTATTCTTCGTTGACTCCCATATCTTCCCCATATTTCTTCCCCACTTCTTATCAAGATTTCTTGGGGCCATCTCCAATATAAGCCACAGGGATAAATATGGGGAAACCCAATAATAATGCTTAATTAAAAAGAGAAGGATATGGGTTATAGCTCTGAATTTGCAGGAGGCATAATAAGAGTTACTTAGGATAGATTGCTGTAGTGATACAGTACTGGTATATTGGGATATACCTCACCACTATTTTCAATGTAAAAAGTGCAATCATTATGTTTACCAGATTGTGAAGGGTTAGGATAAGAACTGGGAGGTGAAGGCACTTTATTTTCTATTCAATGGAAAACCAGGTGAAGTTGTAAAACACAAGAATGCAATGTCTGGATATGTTAGAAACTCCCTCTGACTTCAGGATGGAAGAAGGGTCAGAGAGGAAAGGACAGGAAGTGGGGTACCCTTTAGGTAGCTATTTTAATCATCCAGGGGTAAGATGTGAAGGGCTACAACTAGGGCAGGGGCTGTGGAACTGGCAAAGAGAGGATGGATTTCCCCGATATTGACCAGGGGAGGGTATTGACAAGTCTTAGTGACCAATTAGATGTAGGGGTTGAAGAAGAGAGAGACAATTTCTTGTTTTGGACGTTGATGGATGATTTAACTACTTTTACTGAGGTCACTTCAACAATTCCTTGTTCTTGTAACAGGGGTCCCCCTGGTGGTAAAAGAAAACCAAGAATGGGATTTCTTAACCTGGGTACCTGCTATTGTTGGACACAATTGTGCAACTGAACCTAGTCGCAAGATCACAGCATAGGGATCCCCTTCTTTTTGTGTGTGTGGTAGCAAAGACCCACATCTAGAAAAAGCTGTAAGCTAAGGGGAATGGGTAAAGGTGATCAAAGTGTGCAAACTCCCAGTTATAAGATGAATAAGTTCTGATGATATAATGTACAGCATGGTGACTATGGTTAACAATACTGTACTGTATACCTGAAAGTTGCTAAGAGAGTAGATCTTTAAAGTTCTCATCACAAGAAGAACAAATTTGTAACTATGTGCGGTGATGGATGTGTTAACTAAACTTATGGGGATGATCATTTTGCAGTATATACATATATCAAATCATGATTTAAGGTATACATCTTAAATGCATACCATGTTTTAGGTCAATTATATCTCAATAAAGCTGGAAAAAAATCTTCCTGAATAAACAAGAACAACTGAGAGCTGATGGTTGCTGATGGGTCAGAAAGTGTGGCCTGACAATGACCTTCACCCACTCAAGGCAGGTAGCTTCTGGCCACCTTCCTTCTCCAAGAATCTCCATGTGGTCCAGAATGGGGTTGGCTGCTATGTGTGGTGCGGAATCCATCAGGCATGGGAACTCTCCCATCATTGATCTGATTTCTTAAAAGCGTACAGCAGAGGAAAGAGGAGAGACTCTAAAGCTAGACACACCTGCACCTGAATGCTGGCTCTGCCACAAATCTGCTAGTATCCATGAGTTACACCTGACAGTGCCTAGAAGGTTGTGAGGTTTGAGGGAACGTTTGTAAAGCACTAGCCCAATGCCTCCTTAACAGTTGGAGGTAATGATTACCTTAAACAGCGGATCTCAACCTGTGGGTCCCGACCCCTTTGGTGGTCGAACGACCCTTTCACAGGGGTCACCTAAGACCATCCTGCATATCAGATATTTACATTACGATTCATAACAGTAGCAACATTACAGTTATGAAGTAGCAACGAAAATAATTTTTTTTAATATTTTATTGATTTTTTTACAGAGAGGAAGGGAGAGGGATAGAGAGTTAGAAACATCGATGAGAGAGAAACATCGATCAGCTGCCTCCCGCACACTCCCCACTGGGTATGTGCCTGCAACCAAGGTACATGCCCTTGGCTGGAATCGAACCTGGGACCCCTCAGTCCGCAGGCCAACGCTCCATCCACTGAGCCAAACCGGTCAGGGCGCAACGAAAATAATTTTATGGTTGGGTCACAACATGAGGAACTGTATTTAAAGGGCCAGAAGGTTGAGAACCACTGCTTTAGGCAACTAGTAGGGTCTTTGGGATCCTATTAATTCATGAATATGCTAATAAAAAAGGGGCAGCTCCAAAGCTGACTCATAATATTACGAATCCATCTGAAAATGCCAGGGCCAAGTAATGAATCTAAACACACAAGGTAGAACCCTAGAGACTTCTCTCTTCATGGTTTCTCTCTGAATGCCTTGGGAGTAGCCCTTGAAATAGACAAGAGGAATTTTCCAAAAAAGGTACATTTGAATAGGCCTGAGTCATTGACTAAGATGAGATATTTCAGAAGCTTTCCATTTCGAGCCTCTGGCATGTTTCTGATTATGTATAAATACCTTGCTTGTTATATAAATACACAGCGAGTGTAACCTTTTGCTAAGCAATGCAAAGCAAACAGCTACAAGAAGATCTGAGAAAAGAGCCACAGCGCAATTGCTTCTGATGGTTTCCTCTCACCGGTCCCCGAGGATCCCGGAAAGGTTTAAAGCGATAAAGCTGTAAGTTACCTCTTGAAATCACCGCAGCCATTTTTCTCTCCCTGGGAGCTCCGCGTGCACATGTATTAGCTGGTCTTATCCATGCGTAAGCCCCTGTAAGCTCGCTAATGAAAACAACCACCTCTTCTGGGCTTAACTGCGCGTTATTGAGTGTTCTGTCTCTCATGCTATAAATGCACAGTAATGAGAAGTGGGCTGTTTATTAGGGACCACCAGCATGCTAGGCAAATGGTGAATCAGGTATTTCACTGATGTGCCCAGAAAGTAACATCTTAAAGGTCAGTCCATAGCCATAAAAACAACCAAAACAAAACAAAAAACTTCCTTAATGCACCACACACAGACTGGATATTTTGAATAGCAGAAGGGTTTGACAAGATTAATCATGTATGATGTCTTTCATAAGGGAAACTGTGAGATTCTCCTATTGTAGTAATTCCCCGTATTATATCTGGTGCCATATTCTCGTTAGTGCTTTTGATTTTAAATGGTTTTGTAGAAGGGTATAACAACTGGCATTTCATATTGTTCTGGACACATAACCATAATCTGCCAGATATTATGGAGGGTATAATGTTGTGAGTGTAAGTACCAGAGAGCTTATTAGGTGAGTTAATAGGTATCAAAACCAATGGGCCCCCCACATCGATTCTCTTCAGGTTTTCCCCTTTTACTTTCTGTAATTTCAGGGGATACAGATGTTACCTCAGCCACAGGATGGCCAAAGCTCATGATTGAAGGGGCTTGTCTGACATGCTTCTTATAGTCAGGGAAAGGTTGAATTAGGCCAGAGTGTAAAAGGCAAACAGAGGGCAGCTCCTACCTGGCTGTGAGGGCCTCCAGCAGTTGTACAAACTTGAGGAGCAGAATAGTGCTTATGAGGTATTTGCTAGGTGGAACCTGAGTCCTGCCTTAAAAACCATAGAGTTTTAAAGAATTATATAATATTTATAATAAAAATATTTTAAAATAAAAATTTAATTGTTCTTTATTTTAAATTCAATAACATGTGATTTTTATATTTGTTTTGAACGTTTTCCTATCATTAAATGTTAACTCGATTATTCTTTAAACTTTTAAATTCCACAAATAAGTTCTCCTTGCTCTACTTGGGCAGGATTTTGGCCGAATTACAAATGGATCACTTTCTGTATAAGGGGTGCCACAATTACATCTACATGAATGTATACTTATTTGTGTAATTGTACTTGTCATAACCCAGATAGCTCCCAAGCAAAGGAGCCTGAGATATATAATAAATGAATAGATGCATTCATCTGTGTGTGTGCATGTGTGTGTGTGTGTATGTGTGAGAATTAGGGCTCTTAAAAAGTATGCCTATGTTCATGTGTTTAGTGGGTTTGTGGCCCTTCTGTTTGAGAATTGTCTGGGATATGACTCATCCCTCCCCTGAGGTGCTAGTGTTCAGGTTCAAAGCCATTTTTCAGTCATAACTGGTTGTGTAGGCATCACAAACAAATGCCACTCCCAACACACTCTATCTTTCCCCTCATCTTTGCTGGTGGTCTCCAAGCATGTGGACCAAATACGTGTACACATGTCCGGGTAGCAGTTTCCATCCGTGTGTTTTAAAAGAAAACATTGAGTGAGAAGACCTTTAGCCCGGCAGTTTGGGAATGCCTGCTGTGAGCTGACTCTTACCTTCCGGTAGCCCCAGAGCTGGTTCCCCTTCATGCCGTGACAGTCATAGAGAGTGACCGGGCTGCTGTGCGAGATCGCGTCGAAGCAGAACTTTCGGGTGTGCAGCGGCTCACCAGGTCGAATGTCTTCCCTCCATCCAAAAGTAAAGAGCTAACGAAGTGACAACAGCAGAAAAGATGCAGTGAGTTTCATTTGAAGACATTCGAGAGCAGGGGGAGCAATTTAGATCTGTTTTGTGACTTACAAGACAGAACTAAGTCTCGGCATCATAGAGGTGTGGAAAAAGGCATCCTATATAATAAAAGCCATCACAAGATGGCTGCCACAAGATGGCCCCGTGCACAGCGGAGGCAGGCCCAGTGGCCGCTCCATGCAGTGAGGCCTGGGGGTCCCCGCAGCTCTGCACCGTGTGGAGGAGGCCGGTCCTGATGTTTCTGCAGCCTCACGTGGAAGAGGCAGGTCGCAGCAGGGGAGGGCAGTTGGGGGTGATCAGGCCAGCAGGGGAGCAGTTAGGCATCAATCAGGCTGGCAGTGGAGCAGTTATGGGCAATCAGGCTGGCAGGCAGAGGTGGTTAGGGACAATCAGGCACACAGGCAGGCAAGAGGTTAAGAGCCAGCGGTCCTGGATTGTGAGAGGGATGTCCCAGATTGGAGAGGGTGCAGGCCAGGTTGAGGGACACACCCACCCATGCACGAATTTCGTGCACTGGGTCTCTAGTGTAATATAAAGTACGTGGTAGTGACAGCTGCACCTTTGACTGAGGGCACCAAAAATGCAAATGAGGAATGTCCAGTTTGGTACTAGAAAAATAACAGAGGAGGGTGTGCAGATGGGAGGAGAGGAAAAACTCCTTAATGAAGCTCTTCACATTCTTCAGTTTGATAAAATGCCACAGTCAGCCTAAATGAGCAGACTCACTGGAAAAAAAACATCACAGGAGTAGAATTGAGCTGGATTGATGTTAGCAATTTTAAAAAAGTTGATTTAAATGAAAGCTAAGCTTGATGAAGTAAAGAATAGGCAAATTAATGTCCTGGGGGTGGTGAGTGAGTATGCAGGGCCATGTTTTGAAGTAAGAAGTATAGTTCAAACACACTCACACACACACTCACTCACACTTACACACATACTCATACACTCACACACTTACACACATGCGCATACTTACACACTCACACATACTCACATACACACACACTCACACACATGCATACACGCTCACATGCACACACACATGCGCACACATGCATACACTCACACACACTCACATTCACACACTAACACGCACACACAGACACAAACTCTTGCTCACATACACTCTCATGTGCACACACACATATGCTCACACTCACACACACATGCACACACTCACACTCCACTCACAGACACACTCTCACACACCCGTGCACACTCACACACACTCACACACATGCACACACACGCACACACACTCACACTCTCATGCACACACACTTGCATGCACTCGCACACACACACACTCACACACACACACGCACATACACACACACACTCATGCACACACTTTTCCTCCCCAAACTAAAACAAGTTTCATGAAACAATATTTATCTTTACTGGATTTAATAGACTCTGATATCCCATCTGACCTTATCCTATCCTAGTCTATTCTATCCTATCCATGCCATTCCATTATTTTAAGAATGCTTCTAATGATGCACTAAATTAATTGTATAATGTATTAAAATTTTTAAAGACCCACCACATTTCTGTAGGGAAAAAGCTAAGCTTGATGAAGTAAAGAATAGGCAAATTAATGTCCTGGGGGTGGTGAGTGAGTATGCAGGGCCATGTTTTGAAGTAAGAAGTACAGTTCAAACACACTCACACACACACTCACTCACACTCACACTCACTCACACACAAACTCATACACTCACACACGTGCACACTTACACACTCATGCACACATACTCACATACACACAATCACACATGCACACATGCTCACATGCACACACACATGCATGCACATGCATACACTCGCACACACTCACATTCACACACTAACACACACACGGACACACACTCACATGCACACACACACTCTTGCTCACATACACTCTCATGTGCGCACACACTCACACACACATGTGCACACTCACACTCCACTCACACACACACTCTCACACACCCATGCACACTCACACACACTCACATGCACACACACACACACTCACACTCCCCCCACACACACTTGCATGCACCCGCATACACACACACACTCACACACACACATACACTAACACACTCATGCACACACTTCCCCACCCCAAACTAAAACAAGTTTCATGAAACAATATTTATCACACACTCACACTCTCATGCACACACACTTGCATGCACTCGCACACACACACACTCACACACACACACGCACATACACACACACACTCATGCACACACTTTTCCTCCCCAAACTAAAACAAGTTTCATGAAACAATATTTATCTTTACTGGATTTAATAGACTCTGATATCCCATCTGACCTTATCCTATCCTAGTCTATTCTATCCTATCCATGCCATTCCATTATTTTAAGAATGCTTCTAATTATGCACTAAATTAATTGTATAATGTATTAAAATTTTTAAAGACCCACCACATTTCTGTAGGGAAAGGATATTTTCTTGAGTTTGACTTGGAGAAAAAACAAGAGTAGAAGAGGTGTAGTAGGAAAAATCCTTAAGTGGGAAAATAAACTAGATGAGTCCTATTTCTTCCAAATCTAAAATTTTAGTAACTATATATAATTCTTATGATAGGACTGAAAGTAGATCTGGCTGTGTAAAGCCAAACTGTGAATTTCAAAAGAAAGAGGTGTCAAGGACCCCCTGTTGATATAAAGCAAGCACGATGCTCAACTATCTATATATATAAAAGACTAAGTGTCCGTCTGTCCAACCGGTAGCTCTGATATGCACTTATCCCCAGGGGGCAGATGCTCAATGCAGGAGTTGCCATGATGCACACTGGCCATCCTATCTAATAATAGACAAACATGGTACAAACATGGTTAACCGTACCTCTGACACACTTCCCATTGGCTAATCAGGGCGATATGCAAATTAACTGCCAACCAAGATGGCGGCCGATAATAGCGCAGCTGAAGCAAACATGAGGCTTGCTTGCTCCAGTGACGGAGGAAGCCAAGGTTCCCCGCCTGCTGCAGCCCAGCTCTGAGCTCCAGATGCAACAATGTTGCAATTATAGAAGCTAAACAAACCCAGAAACCTGCTTTCAGCCGCCAGCGGGCTCAGAGCTTAGAGCACCAGTGATGGCAACAGAGTTTCAATTATAGAAGCTAAACAAACCCAGATACCTGCTTTCAGCCGGCAACGGCCTCAGAGCTGGAGTGGGCTCTCAGCTCCAGTGACAGCTATAGAAGGTAAATAAATCCCAGAATAAAAAAAAAAGAGGCTGGGAACTTCAGTTGCCCACCAGCCTGAAAACAGCCCTCAGCCCCTCACCCCGGCTGGCCAGGCACCCCAGTGGGGACCCCCACCCTGAAGGGGGTGTGACCAGCTGCAAACAGCCATCAGCCGCTCACCCAGGCTGGCCAGGCACCCAAG